TTCACCCGCCTTCTGCTCGTGTTAATCTCTGTTTTCCATTCCCTGTTAGGCGTTCAGGTTTGTTGGGTATCCTACGCATTGAGAAGGTACACCAGCACTTCATTAGATGCAGCAACCGCCTCTTAAGTAAATTGCAATCCTGAGTAAGTTATACAGAGAGAAGAAAATCATAGTCAGCTCTCATTTCGCAATCGTCCCCTTGCCATCCTGGACCTACTCCTAGGAAAGTATTACAGGATATTTTCGACCAAGCGGAGGTAGACAGTACATCTCGTATTTCCTGACAGAATCTATGGTAAATATGAGGTCTAAGCAAACGACATTTTGTCCTCCACGCACCGTAGCTGAACGAGGATATGTTGCTCGAGAATAACTTCAATTGCTGCCTTTAGCAGATCGCCATTGAAGGCATGGTTTGAGGACTTCGCAGCGCTTGTGTCGTGGCGAGGTCGTTCTCCACCGTCTCAAGGGTATATATTATTCTAGCTCGGTTGGTGCGACGATAGATTTAGTTGCGTTTGCGATTAAGTGGGACAAAACTGTCGATCTATCTGCATTGCATTTTTCAATTTTTCTTTCAACACTCAACTTCACGAATGATCTATTGGTCTAGGTAGGCCAATGTGGTAAAATACGGCGGCCGTCTGACAGTCACCCACATGTAGGCAGGCTGTACGCGTGGACGCCCGAATCAGCTTGCCAAATATGCACCGATAATGGAGAAGGAAGTTCCAAGGTAGGCTTTCCTCCACCCGAGCAGAGAGGGTTAATGTAAAATCCCAAAGCAGAAGCAGCGACTCAAACTGTGGTAATTACGGCTGCTTGCGAAACTCTGCGTGCAGGGTTAAACGAACCGAAGTTTGCAAAATGTAATAGCTAACTGACTAGTTTGAACGGTTAGACAAACGAAAGGTAGGGATGATAGGGGGGAGTATGCCACCTAGACAAAAAGACGAAACCCGAGAACACACGCTGGGGAAGTAAAAGTACACTTTGTGGACGAAGCTGACTGGTCCGAACGCGTCCACAAATAGAAGACATGGGATGAGAGTTTGGTGAATTCCATCATCCAACACCTGAAACCATCTGTGCGCTCGGATGAAAGAAATCTCTAGGACCTTACTTAACGTGAAGAGAAGATAGGTGGAACATGGTGGAAATGCCACTATTCCCATAATGTGTCACATGCATAAAGGCCTCTCGCGAGCGCCTCGCTGCGGACAGTATTGCCTGTTCAATTTTGATTATGTCCCGTACGTTTCCCTTTAAATGTACCCAGCCTTATTATGTGAACGACTTGCTACAAAGTGCTTTTTCTGAGTGCACGCTCTCTCTCTGGCAGACTGGTCTTCTCAACTTCTCCCTTACGGGCCCTGTGTACCAGCCACGGGTCATAACAGAACCCCTGTCCCCCCAAAGAAAATGGGTCAAGCCACGGCGCACTGTCCAAAGCGAACCATAGTCATTAGCTGTCGCGTCTTTCTGCATCATTACTCCCTAAACGGGAATGAAAGAAAATATATAAGAGGGCAGTATATCACAATGAGCATGCCGATCAAAGACCAGCCTAACGGTTAACGCTTGGTGCACTTGGACTGCAGAATTCCTCAACGTCTTCAGAATGCTCAAAGGCGTGCAACAAAAGTGGTGACTGGAAAGGGCTTATAGCGACCTCGTATTCTAAGCCACGCTTTGTTCGCGCGCTTCTGAGGCATGTTTTTTACTCATATCCACTAAGCACGTGCGCACCCAAGCGTGTCAAAGGCAGGTAAGGGTCACGGAAATGTCTGTCTGACCTAACTAGCCAACCACTTCCCAAGGCCAGATCAAGAGCCTGGAAATGAGAGCACACACTGAAAATCTTCTAGTCGGCATTACTAATAAAGAATTTGGATATCACTCCGTCCCCGAAATCTGACGCAGCGGAAGCTAATGATAAGAAATTATTTGAAAAACTGCCATCTCAAAAAGACCTGTCGTGGCGCATATTTTAAAATCGTCGCTGAAATGTCGCCACCAGACGCACGTGACACAGCAACAAGATAAGATGGATTTGTCTAGCAGTCCACTTCTTAGCCTTAAAGGCATGATGTGTCTGCTTTTTCAGAACACCGTAATCACCCTCTAGTGAGGACTATATTAGTTTAACAAGTAGGCGCCTATACAAGCGGAAACAGGAGAAATATGCTGTCTAGCTTCAACAAAGCATGATAAAGTTGATACGTAAAGCAATTTTGGTCAACATGTTTGACAGCGGCTACCGGACAGACGCCAAAATATAATCCTGAGTCATCTAAAAAATGCCACGAGATGCTCCAAGTTTGCACGTCAGTGGAAAGTCCTGACGACAGAGGCAGTGCCCAAACGGCTAGCCAACACAACTGTGCTCTCGCAACCACCGCTTAAACAAGCTTCATGAAGCCCCTGGCATAAGAATACTTCAGAAAAAACGTTTACAAATCTTGCTGTGTGGCCATACAGTGACGAAAGAGGAACATAGACAATTGCCAGACATTTCTTTTAACCTCCCTCTGACCTCTGAACTCCCATAAACCATCTTCTCCATACCACCTGTTTATTGCTTGCTTAACATTTTTCATATTCCATCTTTCGTCATATTAAGGCCAAGGCCCGATTATATACAACCGAAGGCGTGCGTTTGCCGGAATTCACTTCGTCGTTGAAGCGTTTGGTTTTGAGAAGACATTAAACCTGCTGCTAAGTCACATGCTTCCTTTCAGAAAATAAAGTTTAAAAAAGCATATTGTAGCGTAGTTGTCCGACAGACAGATTACGAAGACAAATATTATGCTGGGCACAGGAATGTACAGTGCACTGAATAGCCTGAAAATAAACAACGAAAATGCCGAAAAGGCGAGAAGACTTACATAAGTATTAGAATGCAATTTAAAGTAGACGCTCAAGGAACTGTGGGATTTTGTGTGATGATTGGAGATATGAACTAAATCGTATTTGTTGAGTGGATGTGCAAAATTACATGCACTAAACGTTACGAAGTTGACCAAGTTCTGGTATCAACATTTTGCTTATGATTACATCCTGATAACGTTTTACCGGACTGATATTTGACCAGAATATTTAATTTACCCGTTTTCAGTATTTGCTATGTTTGTCGAAATGGGTACTCACTCCTAATTCATGCACTCAGCTTTATATCTTGCGAAATATTTAAATAACTTTCACATCTGTTTTACCCTTTAGGGTTGTACTGACTGCTTTGTATAATTATAATTAGTTTGAGTTCTGCGTAGGTCTGAATAATTATTAATAATTATTCAGCCCTGAATTCAGCCCTGCGCAGAACCGCGGCTGTCTTAGGACGAAAGCCGACCCCTTCAAGCAAAGCACTGATACGATGTTGTGCAAAGAAGGCATTTTTTGGGCACAAAAATTGGGTGCACCCTCCTTGTGAGGCCTTGCCTAAATTGAAGCCGCGTCCCTAAGGCTGAACATATGGGGAAAATCATTATTTAATTAAGTTTATTCTTTTTTCCGCCTGATTTCCTATGCCCCAAAACAATTACTTTTATTTCTCAGAAGAGCTCGCGGCAATTTAACTCCCCATAATAATTTAAAGAGAAATGTCGGCCTTTTTATCAGATTTGATCACTGAAAAAGAGGCGTTTCGGGATTTGAAATCTCTAAGGTCTTACGTCGCGTTTCGATAGGTGGGCTGACAGTTTGCTTTCCTTGCGCAGTACCGTTTGTGCCTTTTGTACCATTTGTTTGGCACATTCTGGGGCCACACCATTCGTACAGTAGATTAATTATCTCATGAAATATCAACCAAATCACTTAAGTAGGGATTGTTACATAGAGTTTCATGCAGCGCAATCTCATGGTATGCCAGTAATTTAAAGTTACTCGCTTTTGAATGAGCTTCTTTCTGACCGCCTGCAAAAAACAGGCCTACTTAATTCGTGTGACTTCCTCCATTTATTTTCGATGCTCTTAAATATGCAATTACATTTATAGAAAATATACTCAAAAATATTCTTTTTAGTACTCATTTGGTAGAAAAATACATCCTCTTGAACTTTTATGCTTGAAAAGCGGGTATATGTTGTTTTAAAAAAACAGTTTCTAACAATGCGATTTTTTTTAACACCGTCAATTGTTTATCGTATGCGTCAATTTGTTAATGTTGTCCTTAAATTATAGAATATGAGTACTACCTAAATCTTCTTTGTAGCCGTGGGAAATGAAGAATTTTCCTTAGACAGAAGTGTAACATTCGATTATGTCCAAAATTAGTCGGCAATAGGCGTTTGAAAACTGCAAGATACCTTTTCCTCAAATGTAAATCTGAATACGTAAATTTCTGATGGAATGGTCCGACAAAGCAAAGGGAGACCGGAATGACCATTTCTGGCTTGTTAGCCGTCATCAGCCAGTCATGCCCAATCTCAAGGGTTGGAACCCCCGAGATTTGAACACGGGACCTTTGGTGATTGAGTTCAATACTCTACCACGGCACCACGGGTTCCTTGCTTTGTCGGTTTAGATCGGGAATATGATGAATATACGCGCTTCGCCGATCTAGTAGAGGACGAATTAAGTTCCGCTTTGCCCAGGAGCTCACAACGTGAACGTAAATTTCTATTCAGTTAACACGAGAAAGCATATTTTTGTACATGTCTTTGCCTTGAAGATCAATTATGGAGATACCCCCTAATAAAGCGATAATTTTTTTACAGCGTGCACTTTTTACAGGCGGTTAGCAAGAAACTCGTTCAAATGTCGACATCCCGACATGCATAAAGTAGCTGAGCCTTAGCCTGCACGACAATCAATATTCCCATACTGTTTAGTGATATGTTATCATTGAAAATAAATTTCAGAATTTAAGTTCACATGTCATGAGATAGTGAATCTACTGTATATCCCAAACTTCTCCAGAGAAGAGTACTGTGACACTGCGTTCGCCGCCCCATACACCTGACCCTTTCCGCCTTTCTATTTTCAGCTTTTTCTCTCCGATGACCGAGCGGCGGTCTTCATCGAGTCTGCTTGGCAGCCGTTCAGTTGCGTCACCGACCAATGACGCCTTCTGGCCCCCTGTGTCTGAAGACTGCGGCGTCGCCCCTCAAACAGTTCCAGAACTGCTGACTCTTGGTGTTGGCGGCGTGCATTTAGGTGGGGGGCAACGCAGTAGCCTTGAACTAGCGTCACGTGACACGGCTAGTCTGGCCTCGGAGGAAGTAGCCGCGGTGAACATTAGTGCTGAAAGTGGTCAGTATGGGAGCAGTCCCGTGCAAGTACGCTGTCCGACTACGCCTGATGATTCCAGTCTCCAGGTCGAGGACGATGCGCCTCTGTGTAGCAGTGTAAGTTTTCTGGTGCTCTTTCAGTTTATTTGGTGAGGTTAATAGGCAATGCATTTTAAAACTCTATTGATTACATGCACGTGCGTAATAAGCATCTGTACACATACTCCGAAAAAGTGCCATTATTAAAGGAGTATTCATAAGATGTAAGCAGCATTACTTTTACTAATAATTGTTGTCTGGAGTTGGCGTGGTAACAATTCTGGTTGAGATTGCCGAGAAAAACAAGGGACACATAATTATTCAAGCGTTTCTTGGAGAGCTGCAGGGATGTCGCATCTACGACTAATTGTTGGAAGTCATTCTATTGTTCTCTAACTACAAATAGTTGCATGAATAATTAAAAAGGGAGATTCATTCTAGACTCCTTCGTTTACAGCTTCATTGCGTGTCCAGATAGCTGAGGTAAGAGGTGCCACTCAAACATATCCCTATAACGAAATCCCATATTATTCTGTAAGGTAAAACACAATCACCCCTTTGCTACCTATAACATAGAGGGAGTAGATTTAGGCATTCCAGTCCTTCCATATAAGAGTGTTTTCGTAGATCTTAAGTTTGCAAGGGCCAGAGTTCCGGGATATGAATCGGAGAACATATTTATGCTCACCGGAACAAGCTTTATTGTCTTTTACTACTAGCCTTGTTGTACGACTTTGCACTTTCTCAAAACATATTTCGTATTTTGCGAGCCATGGCCGTCCTCGATCCACACAACAACTAATAGCATACCTTTCCGCGTT